AAAAATGGACTTTGGGGCCAGGGCTTAGCGCCCCATCAGACCAGACTCAACCGGAAAACACTCCTAAAGGCCAACAAATAGTCCTTGAACTAACTACAAAACAGTTTTTGTTTATCTTGGAGAATTCATTACTATAAGCAACCCTCTACAGATGTATTCACTGTTAAAAATTCTCATTTCTCCTAAAATCATATATTACGGTGGTTTTCACTAATATTGCACATGGCCTTTGGTCAAATACTTCAAAGTAAAAATACAGACAATGGGTGGGGCTGCTGTTCCTGGTGGCCCTGGCACATTTGCGTTACCCCTGTGTCACCACTGCTTTCTCAGGGTGCACAGAGCTTGGGCATGTGACTCTGCCTCACTGGATATGATTGAACTACTGAATTGTACGATATGTGGATAAAGCGCCAATAAAACGGTTTTTAGGGAATCGGGGAGGGGGAGGGAAAAATGAGGAGCTGATACCAAGGGCTTAAGTGGAGAGTAAATATTTTGAGAATGATGAGGCAACGAATGTACAAATGTGCTTGACACAATTGATGTATGTATGGATTGTATGAGCTGTATTGTAAGAGTTGTATGAGCCTCCAATAAAACAAAGGTTTTAAAAATAATAGCTTTAAAGGCCACCCTGCTAGCATGTCTCAAATGTATGAAAGCATCTCCATTGTGATGATCTGACACACAAGAACTCTGACATACAACACAAAATGAACAACTAAGGAGTAGCATTTGAAAAATAGGACGTAAAGCTAATAAATTCTGTTTAAGAGGAAACACCAAACAACAATCACAGATTGGAGACACTAAGGAGTCCTAGTGACCCTGTGGGTTAGGTTGCTAACCATAAGGTTGGCAGTTCAAATCCCACCAGCGGCTTTGAAGGAGACTACCCAATTTCTGTAAGAATTATGATCTGAGAAACCCTATGCAGGGTTACTGTGAGTTAGAACTAACTCCACAGCGTGAGTAAGAAGACAGTGCAACTAAATACAAAGTGGAACCCTGGGTTGGATGAAAGGCTTTAATGAAAACAAACAAACACAAACAATGAAATTTAGCAAGGTCTGTATTTTAATCAAGAGTACCTAGCTGGCATCTATTTCTTAGCTTTGAGAAATTTATCATGGCTTAATATACAAGTCTGGGACTAGAGTGAGGCAAGTGACTTAAGGTACAAGATTTAAGGAGGCACGCTACTCTCTTACAGGGTGTGCAAGTGCAGTGCCAGCACTCCAGAGTGCCACCTTAATTAAATTCTATACCTTAGGTATCTAGCTTGCCTCATCCTAGTGCTACTATTTTCTTGTGATAACGTTAACATAAAGTACCTGGGTAAAGGATTGTTGGGAAAACTCTGCACCATCTTTATAACTCTTCTGTAAATCTAAAATTATTTTCAAAATACAGAAATTTGGAACTACACACAAAGGACTAAATCTGGAAACTGTATAAGTATAGTAGTGTATTGGGAAGAACTAGACTTAAAATCAAGTTTTAGCCCAAGTCCCACTTACTGGCCCAGGGAACTTGACATCCCTCGCATCCCAGCAAAGGCGTGATGACAATGCCTGCCTGGCCTTCCTCACCTGGGTGTAGGTGAAATTCAGTGAGATCAAGCATGTGAAGTATTCTTTCTTTTCATTATATTTTTCCTCGGATATCCTTCACATATCATACACTTTAATTGTTCAATTGACATACTGTTTTATAAGCTGATAACTATTATAGTTAGGTCACACATGAAGTCACTTAACAAATGCTTTTTGTTAAGTACATTCAGGCTAACAATTTTTTTATTGATAATTTTAAGTATTAGTCCAAACCAATTTCTTAGTAATTTTCAATCAATGCCTACTAGCTATTTAATCCAAACTATACCAATGGAGACACACTACTATAAAGGCATAGCTTTCCAGTTTTTCAGCAACACTATTTTCCATTATCCCTGGGAATCAGGATGCCAAAAGGGTTCTAAAAGCCCTGGTATTGAGGGCCAAGCTGTAATACCCAGTGTCGAGGCAGGACGCTCAGCAGGGATGTTGGCTTCACAGCTCCTCCTCCCCTGCCCTAGGCCTGCTGGGCTACTAAGGTATCATGGGAAGTGTATTGCTATGGATGTATGCACACACACACCAAAGAGAGCAAACTCTTACCTTTAACACTCGACAGCAGCACCGTATAAATGTTTCTAGATCAGTCACATGTTCTACAACCTCAGAAGCTACGATGGCATCAAATGTTTCTATGTTTTCTTCCACGATCGCTTCTAGAGAGCATGCTTTGTACTCTATTCTCTTAGTCAGGATGGGGTCAAAGGATTTATGATGCTGAGCTGTTTGAATGTTCTCATCCACAGGATCGATTCCAGTAACTGAAGCTCCGAGCCGCCCTAGAGGCTAATGATAAAAAAACCCAAAATGTTTCCTTTAGGGAGAAAATAGAACCCAAAGTAACCAATGAAAACGTTAACAACAACAACAACAAAACTTTGACATATATGAAACAAGGTGCGGAAGTGGTTACTAGTGATGGCCTATGGGTACATGGGAGTTCATCATATCATTGTCTAGTTTGTACATGCTTTACATTTTCCATCCTAAAAGTCTTTAAAGTAAAAACAACAATCAAAACAAAAACCTTACCAAGAATCACTTGAAAACAATTAAAAAATTATTTGTCTATATTTTCTCTAGGTCCATTCACAGGTACATAGAACAGTACTGGGAGTAAGACAGGCTTTCTACTCCGGTAGAGCATCACCGTCTTAGGAGCCCATAGCAGCAGCTCTATGCTGACCGACAGGGTCCCTGCAAGTCAAAACCGACTCCATGGCAGGGAGTGGACACAGTGTCAATACCCTTAGAGCGTAATAGATGAAATGCAAACTGCCAGTGAGAATAGTACACAATTTCTGAGATCTTTAAATTTTCTGAAGAATGGTTTATTTCTCAATTGTATTTTCCTGTGTTTGATCAGAAATTATTCTTCATAGCTCTTTCTTTCACCTTTTATATTTAATCACTACTCATGACATGCCCAACTTCTACACACAGCCTTAATTCTGATCAAAATTTGTCCAATGTTTACAGTAAGTAAAAGGAGTTACTCAATAAGCTCAATTGTTATTTGTAATGTTAAAGCCATAAAATCTACAATAATATATTGAGCAGGTTGCAAGATTAGCATATTATAATCTTACTCATTTACAGTTTGACATACTATGTATTCTTTTTAAAATAATGCTTTATTGTGTTTTTAGGTGAAAGTGTAAACAGAACATTAGGTTCTCTTTCGCAGCTTTTGCAAAGACTGCTGGATAACCTTGGTGACCACTTTTACAAGATGTCGGCATTCTCATTCTTTCCCTAGGTCTCGCTTCCTGAGAGATTGCTGGACAGTGAGCCTTCAGGTGGGAAGACACTCAAAATATGACTGGGGAGGAGTGGACTCTTCAAAACACAGCTGGGCCATAAAAAATGCGGATGGAGGGTTTCAGGACCCTATTTTGTCGATGGGGCACTACTGAAAATGAGAAGACACAGCTGCAAATATCCACTAATATCTGAAACATGGAATGTATGAAGGATGAAACTAGGAAAACTGGAAGTCATCGAAAATGAACTGGGACTAATAAGGATCCATACCCTGGGCATTAGTGAGCTCTCATATACTGGCATAGGCCACTTTGAGCTAGACAACCAACTGGCTTACTCTATGTGGAATGACAAAGAGGGGAACTGCACTGTATTCATAATCAAGGACCATACTATCAGTGATAATACTCTTACACCTATAAAGAAGATTAATTAATACAACTAATATTCAAATTTACAAAGATGAAGAAATTTTTTAATTCTACCACTTTCTCAGTCTAAAAGTACCCAAACATGCAATTAAGTATATTGATAATTACTGGTAGTTGGAATGAGAAAGTTGGAGACAAAGGAAGCTCCAAACCAAAAACGATTGGCCGCTGAATCCATTCTGACTCCCAGAGAGCCTATTTATGGTTTCCAAGACTTTACATCTCTACAAGCGCAGACAACCTCCACTTTCTCCTGCGGAAGAGCTGGTTGCTGTAAACCACAAACCTTGCAGTTGGAAGCCAATTCTTACCCACTCCCGCCATATGGTACTGGTGACAGAAATGACACGAAAGACCATATAACAGCATTTTGCAAGGAAAGTGACTTTGTTGTTGCAAGATACCATTTTCAATAACATAAACAGTGACTATACACACAGACCTTGCCAGATAGAATGCCCAGGAATCAAACCAACTACATCTGTGGAGAGAGAAGACGAAGTTCAATATCACCGAGCAGAACAAGGTCAGTGACTGACTAGGGAACAAATAAATCGATGGCTCAGTTGTAAGGTTAAGTTGAAGCTGAAGGGTGATGGTGGTAAAGAAACACATCCAAGAGAGCCAAAATACAGCCATGAGTGTATCCCACCTGAATTCAGAACCATCTCAAGAATAGATCTTACACATGGAACACTAATGACCACAGACCAAAAGAGTTATGGGATAACATCAAGATCATGCATCAAGAAAGCAAAAGGTCATGAAAAAGATAGGAAAGAAAAGGCCAAAGTGGATGTCAGAAGAGACGCAGAAACTT